GAGGTAGCGACAGCAACTTGGGTGATGTTGCGGTGGTGGGGTGGGTTTGTGATGGTTAATTGAATAACTTGTGAATCCTATGCAAAATCGTCGTATATATAATTTGGTAACACTAATAAAATAACAATATATAAATTATAATTTCTGAACTTTATTTGTAAGATATATTTGTAAATGAATTAAGCCAAATGTACAGGTGTAGAACCCCTACGCCCTCTCACACGTGGGATCCATCTCAATAAAAAAGTTAAAAAAATTATCCACTCCTCCCTCTGTGTGAGTTATCGGTGGGCCCTGTACATGAAGCGTGATTGTTTGTAAATTGTCCAAGAAAATGGTAACAATTTGGTTGAAATGACTTGCAACTTGGAATTTGGGAATTGGGAACGCAGCATCAGGATAAGGTCTGTTACTTTTTCACCTTTTTTCACAAAAATATGGTAACATGGGTTGAGATTCCAGAGTCAAAATTAAGAAATAGGCCCCCACTCTAACTCTTCAACTTTTGACTTCACTGCAATATCATCTGTGCAATAAAAAGGTAACCTATATTGGAATTTGGACAAAATTGCCCAACAAAATGCTCGGCACTTTAGCTCCATGTTCAAGTCTCATCTTTTCATTTGACCATACTCGATTGACCCGATTATATATTGAGTATCATTAGGGTCATCGATTCAACCATCAGATCACTCGACGGTGAAATACAATAGCTTAGGTATGGACACTTAGGTCATTTCAAGTAAATTGTCAAGCTAATCGAGAATATAGACCAAAGTGACAAAACCCACATTGAATGTAGCACTAAAAGTTCGACTCCCACTTCCCATCTACATAGACCCAAAAATTACCCATACTTCCCTCTACTAAAATACACCAAAAACTATTTTTGTTGTTGAAAATATGAGCCTTTTCAAGAAAACCAAAGAAAAAATCTTGGACTGAGAAAATTCTTAGAATTCTGAAATGGATTTGAATATGTTTCGTTCATTTATGGAGGATTCAGGGCTTGATGTTTGGACAGTTATGGATATGGCAATCACTGTGGCATGTGAAGATCATGAAAAAGAGTTGAAGAACAGAAGAGATGGGATCATCGAAAGGCTTTATGCACCGTCATTTTCGAGGTGTAATAGCTGCGTCTTCAATGGATCGGAAGGTAAAGAAACTGAAAATATTGAAAAATCTCAGTCAAAACAAGAATTACAAGTAGAGAAGATGGTGGATGTGAATGAAGAAGATGATCATCAGAAGATTATTCTTGACATTAAGAATCTTTTGGATGACCCGACTCAGGTTTCGTTTTTATTCTCGAGTTTTCATTTAATTAGTGCATGTATAGTACTCAGTACTCGACAGGATTGAACATATTATTTCTTCTTGTAACTGAATTTTTAGTCCGAGGGTTGTTTGGTTGAACTGCTTCAAAGTCTAGTGGACATGAATATTACATTCAAAACCCTCAAGGTAATGATAATTGAAGAAATTCATTTTTAAGCTTGAAAGGTTGAAATTTTCTTTTATTTATATTATGCAATTTATTTCAAGGAAACTGATATAGGAAGACATGCAACTCGACTGCGAAAACATTCGTCGAGTGATGTTCGTAGACTGGTGAAGATTCTTATCAGGTTTGGAGTTTGGACAAAAAGTAGGTGTGATATTGCATTCATTTGTACGATCATTTTAGTTGACAAAATTGTGTTCGATATGATAGGAAATGGAAGGATACCGTCGATGAATGGGTTAGATCGAATACTCCCCCTCAAGAAACCGTTCCATTTAACGGTAAAACTAATCGACTATCTCAATTATTGATGTTTTTGGTACGTTGAACTGAACAACAACGGAAAATTATCCAGGCCTAGGTTGTTCGGCATGTTTGTTGATGTATGTAATGATTTTTTTCTTTTTCAAGATCATGGGAGGATTGACCTTGAAGTTCTTCCAAATGGAGATTTTCGAAATGGTTCTGTTTCTCAGTATCAGACTTCAGCTAAGAAGCGTCTTCATGATAATTTCCAGGAAGCTCAAACTGGTTTGTTTATTGATTACTTTATTAGCATTTTTTGTGTTTAATGTATTTGTTATATTATATACGTTTATGGGTAATTGAATTTCCTTTTACCTAAAGGCAAAAACCCGAAAACACCACGGATAATGGATTCAAAGAACACGAGAAAAACAGAGGATGAAGGTATCGTTAGGAATGGGAGAGCTTTCGCGTGAGATAATTGGCAATATTAAAGGGTAATTGTGAATAACTCCAAAGAGCCAATTGGGCAGGGATTTTGAAATGTCAAAAGCTGCTTCTGAGACTAAATGGCTCTTTTTTACTATGTTTGGATAATTTTTTTAAAGTGTGTTATCCGACTAAATGAGCTTTTGAAGTCAACTTCCTCAGAAAGCTTTTCGATAAGTAACAGAAGCCCTACCAACTAGGTCTTTAAAACTAGATTAATTTCCTTTTCTTTTGTTTTCTCACACTTCTGTGTCTTCGTATTTTTTTGTAATTTTATGATTAAATTTTGCAGATGGTGAAGTTCATTGTACAATGGAAGGTGCATTGGTCTTAGCCGTGACAAGTGGCTTGAATGAGGTTGAAATAGGATAACTGTATATTGAATGGACTCCCATGTGATTTTGTTGGGTGATCATATAACTCATTAATGTGCTGCTTTTTGACTTAGGAATTAGGTTGTGCCTTATTTTCAAATAAATGTACAAATTCTACTACTTGTTCACACAATTCCTTCTTAGAATTTTTTAATTCTTATAAACGAAGGTCTTGATAAGTCTACCAAAATATGTTCCAACCATATAAATTGTTTCTCAATTTATCGTTATTCGATGCAGACTCCACATAGTAATGTATAATCTCCAAGTACCTATCGTTTAGTTGAGGAATATGCACTTCGCTTGAAGATTTGGCTGCACGATTGCTTGTGACTTCGGTAATAGTCACTCCATCAACTTGTTGCCTATCGTAATAGCTTTTTTAGCTATCTCTTCCTTTCATTTCAAGAAAGTGAACTCTACTGGTTTCACTATGCACTGGTCTTTAAACTCCCCCGTTTCTCGAACTTCAATAGGGGGTCGTCTTTAAAGTCTTATCGATCACACAGTATATCATTATTTGTAGAATCTACTTTTTATTGTAGGTGCCCAAATTTTTTGACCCTAATAGTGATGCATGCTACAAGATTGACACAAGTCACTAGATAAAAGTTTGGTCAAAGAATACTAGAAACCTACTATCAAAAGATAACGTAGGTATCAATGCTTTAAGAATATGTTAGCAAGAAGACAAAGTAAATTGATTATAATGTTAGTGGAATTTCTTTTTTTGCGGACCTAAGAACGAAGATCTTTTTCGTTGTCATCATATGCAATTGGTCTTTGGGGTATATATGTGGATCGGACTTCGTGGGTAGAGAAGAACCTTTTTTATTCTTATCTTTTCATAAAATTAATCAAAAAGCAAAAATTAAACTCAAAAAGTTTGCCCTCCATCAACAAAATTTATAAATAATTTACAGATAAATAAATTTTATTTTCAACCGCGCATTCCAATTGAGCTATCGATAAATCGTTTAGAAATTTTTCCCAAACAGAGGTCAATCAATGAACCTAGTCGGTTATAGTTTGTACGACAAATTGTCCCGAGTCTCATTTAGAAAAAATAAATAAACATGTTGGTCACATACCCCAACATATGGACAATCGTACACTTGCAGAAATTGTTGGCCACAAAAGTATTGGATCAAAGTATATGGTCCATAATGCTTAAGTAACAGCGTGTGTGGTTATTTTGTGATGCCTTGTAACTAATAACCATATTATACGTGGTACCTTAAGAGTTCTACCTCAAAAAATTTAAATAACGTTTGTGAACCATTTCTAATTACAAAATGTTAATATCTTAATGAAATATTTTTCGACCCTCGAATCTTAAATAGTCGAAAAAAGTTCCTCGTATAAAAGAAATCTCAGAAAAAAAAAACAAGAAATGGATACATTTTCTTTCCTTTCTTTGTTGGTTATCATACTTTGCTTTAACCACCAAACACATGCTCAAGAAAACCCAAAATTCTCGAATACAAGTCTAATTACAAATGCATGCACGAATTCACCTACACAAATCCAATGCATTCATTTTCTAAAATCTGCTCCTGCAAGCCAAAAAACCAGTCTAAAGGGCCTTGCATTTTTCACCTTAAAACACGCAGAAGACGACGCTACGAAAACTGCATTATACATGAAGAAGTTGCTTTCGAACACGGATTTGGTTCCCATTGTTCAACAAGCTATCACAGATTGCAGTGAACATTATAAAATTCTAGTCGAGATAGTCGAAGCTTCGATTAGTGCAGCCATTTCTGAAGCATATCTTGATGTTGTTAAATTTGTGAATGCTGCCATTGCTGATTTAGATTCTTGCAAGGGAAGACTTGGAAAGTTAGCTCAAGGAGGGATAGAGAATTCGGGTTTGATACATAGAAGAAGAAAAGGGGTACATGTTAATATCGAGTCCATCGAGGGTTTGAGAACTTTGTTGAATACAGCTTTGAGTATTGCCAAAGCTGGTGAACATTAGATGATTTTTGGATTATATTAAATTTTGTGATTTCATTTTTGTATTTTTGTTGCTATTTATATGAATCTTTTGGAGTAATGGGATTATCATTTATTATCCAAGTGAAAATCATCTCTATCGTTTTGATTTTTATACATACATCCTCGAATTAACCTTTCATTGTGCAAATAGTTCCTGCAATTTGTTTCCTTCAATTTTATCTATTAAATAAAAATAATGCTATGTAGCATGGTGATGTTGAACATCAGTCTAGGTTTAAGCATGTCATATGCTCTAATAAACGAGTCATAGATTCTTGTATTTAATTGAACCTATAATTTAATAATAGAAGTGTTGCCACCTAGATCAATATTAAGTATCAGTGGTACTGAATAGCATTACTCTTAAATGAATGTGTGCACTTCACTAGTTGACCAAACCACCATTATCAAAAGCCATATTTTATCCTTATTTTCAAATAGAAAAAAATCAAAAAGAAAATGAATTATCTTCTCCATCTATCCTACCCCACTCATCCACTAAAAAATTAATGATAAATGCAAAGAATTTTTGAAAAATGGTATCTTCTTTTACCTCCCACCCCACAACCACAGCCACAATCACAATCCCCACCAATTAGATAAGGGCTTAGGTGACTGAAAAATATAAGGACTTAAGTTACTCTTCAACTCTCAATCGATTCAAAGCTTCTCGATACATTTAGACTTTGATAAATGCAGTATATTTTAAAATTTCGATAAATGTCCACTGTCTATTAAAAGACAAATAAAAAGTTATTTTCTCCGTCTCAAAGAAATTATATTTATCTTATAAGTTTATCTATTATTAAATAACATTTTTCTATGGTTGAATTTCAATATTTAAGCTTTCGTTTGACAAATTTATAATGGTGTATAAATAAGAATTTCAAGATGAATAGTAACGGATACCGTAACATGTGTGAATAAAAGGGAATAGTTATTAATGTGTAATTGAAATTAACATTTGACTATAATTAATCCTTTACCAAAATTTATAAATCATTAATAAATTATCAAATCTTTATTTCTATTTATTTATAAATTAAATCGTTTATAAATTCTTCCAAAACCTAGGCTAAAATTTTTTCGTTTAACTATTTTAGATGTCAACACAAAGGAGAAAGTTAGAATGGAAACAGACAAGACAAAAATCCAATACTAAACTCCAACAGGTGCAATCCAAATTCCTTTGCTTTTTCGTTCCTTAATTTCTCCGTGAACCGTTAAACATTTCTTTATCGACTCATCTTTTTATCGGTTTATGTTTAAGCACCGCAGAAAAATGAGCTTTTTTTATAAGACTTCGAGTAAAGTTACATATTTCATTCATATGAAGGTGTCAATTTATACAGCATCGTACATGGGAAATAGCCTACAAATAGCTAACTGATACTAAAGTGATAAATGGAAATCTCAGATAATATTCAAGTGATAGATGTGGACGAACTCAAAATATTTCCGTTGGAGATATTTCTGCTATCATGCCTCTGCAAGACTGGAGTACCGCAACGGACACTAGTCTTGTAACATTGACAGAGAAAGGATGAACGAGGCAATGATTTTGTCAACGAGTCGACGAGTTGATCAGCAGAGTGCACATGTGAGACAAGAAGCTTGTTCCGTGCAATTTGGTCACATACAAAGTGGAAATCAATAGCGATATGCTTCATCCTAGAGTGGAACACGAGATTGGCGCAAAGGTAGGTAGCTCTTTTTTTATCAAAATATATGGTGGGAGTGGTAGAGATCTCGACATGTGGATGTGCGGTCATTAACGTCACCGGCCTAGTCCACATCGGCAAAGGCATGTAAGATTAGAGGGGCATATTTTTGAATGAGAATACAGTGACCTAACATTCCCTTAGGTATCGAAGTACTCTTTTCACCGTAGCCTAGTGTTTACATGGTAGGTTGATACATGAATTGAGATAATTTGTTGACAGCAAATGATATATCAGGACAAGTGAGAGAGATACTACAACTCACCAAAAGTTCGACGATATTCGGTGGCATCGACAGGAGGGCTCCCGTTTTGAAGTTGGAGTGATTCAGTAGAACTCATAGGGCTGGAGACCTCTTTGGAGTCCAACATGTTTGTATGATATAAGAGATCATGAGTGTACTTGTGTTGAGATAAAAATAGACCATCTATTGTAGAAAATGTTTCAACACCAAGGAAATAGTTGAGGTGGCCAAGATCTTCCAAAGAAAAATATTCTACCAGTGATGTGATAAACTGTTGGAGTAGTGCATCACAGTTTCTCGTGACAAGAATATCATCGACATATACAAGGATAAATATGATTTGAGGTTCATTATGATAAATAAAGGGAGATTTGTTGAATGGGAATTACTAAACCCATTGGTTAGAAGAAATCCCCTAAGCTCATGAAACCAAGCACGTGGTGCTTGGTAGAAGCCATATAATGCTTTGTTGTGCTTGCATATGTCTTTTGGTCGTTGATCATCAATGAACCTTTGAGGTTGTTGAATATAGACATTATTAGTGAGTACCTTGAAGAAAGGCTGATGTCGAGCTGGCCGCTTGCGTGTGACTGAAATGATAAGAACAATACGGATGGTTGTTGGTTTCACAACCAGACTGAAGGTATGATGGAAGTCAATTCCGGGGCATTGGTGAAAACCCTTGGCCACGAGACGTGTTTTGTAGCGAGAAATGGTTCCATTCGGCTTCTGTTTGATCTTGTAAATCGACTTACAGCCAACAATGTTTTTGTGGGGAATGGGGTGGGACGATAGTCCATATGTTATTAGGGACAAGAGCATCAAACTCAAAGCTTGGCGCTAGTGTGGGAATTTTTAAGCTTGGGTAAATGAGGCAGGTTCAGTATTAACTAGAAGGAAAAGTGCGTAGGCCATATTTTGAACTGGGTTTTATAATGTGATTTTTGGAGCTGAGTGATCATATGGTAAGAAGATGTATTAGTAGGAGAGGCCTAAGAGGTGGATGGACATATTGGAGTGGGGCGATAGTGAAATTAAGTTGGGCGTGGGAGCAAGAGGGACCACATTAAGTAAAATGGACTGGTAGAGGAGGTGTAATAGGGAATAAGTGATGTGGGGGAGAATCAAGGAGGGCCCATTGAGTGATAGAGTTACGATGAGGAATAAGAAAGGGTATAAGGTTATTGCGAAAGGGAAATGAGCGTTCAACGAAGACAACATGATGAGAGATAAATACTAGATTGCAGTGTGGATCAAGATATCTATGAGCATTGTGTTCAATGGAGTAACCGAAAAAGACACAAGGGCGAGAACGAGGTTGAAGTTTGTTTGTGATGTAGGGGCACAACCACGGATATCACAGACAACAAAATACTCGGAGTTTGTGATCGTTAGGAGGCTTTTGGAACAAATTTTGAATTGGTGATTTGTTATTTAATATAGGAGTGGGAAGTCGATTAATAAGGTATGCTGCAGTTTGAAATGCGACATACCAATATGTGAGAGGTAGTGAGGCATGGTAGAGGAGTGTTAACGCAATTTTGACTATGTGAAGACGATGACACCCGACAATGCCAATAAGTTGAGGAGTATATGGTGGTGATTTGAGGTGTTGAATTCCATGTTTGGTGAGAGTTGAATGCAGGCCGAGATATTCTCATCTACCATCTAAGTACATAATAAGGATAGTACTGTTGAAGAACTTTTCAACTACAGTTTTGAACTTTTCAAAGATAACAAAGATGTCAGATTTTTGTTTCATAAGATAGATTCACAAATATTTAGTGTAATAATCTACAAACAGAACGTAGTAACGAAAATGATTAAAGGCTATAAGAGGTGCAGGACCCCAACCATCTGTACATAAAATTTCAGAGGTTTATTACAAGTAATAGAAGATGTACCAAATGGAAGTCCATAACTTTTATTACAAAGACAAGAATTGCAATGACTAAAACTAGACTTTGAGCAAGGTAAAGACATATCAGTTACAAGACTAAGACGAATTTTGATGGATGGATGATCGAGATAGTGATGCCAATGATCGACTGATGATTTTACAACATGGAAGACACGTGCTGGTTTATTGATGCTGGAAAAAGATGAACACTCGTACATGTGCCCCTTAATTGGCCCTTTAAGAAGAGATGCCCCCGTGTTCAGGTCCTTAACAACAAAACAATAAGGAAAAAAATTCAATAGATGTGTTATTATATTGGAAAAATTGGGACATGGATAAGAGATCTTTTTTTTCTTATTCTGGGTGCACACAGAACATTGTTAAGGCAAAATTTTGAATTAGAATTGAGTAAATTTGTGGAACCAATATGAACGACACGAATCTGATTAGTGTCGCCGATGATAACATCATCATCATGACCATACTCAGAGTACGCAGAGAGATTCTGGAGGTCCGAGGTGATGTGGTGGGATGTCCCATAGTCAACAATCTAGGGATTGTCATTGCTATTATTGCCGGAGGCAGTCAAGAAGAAGTTTGCCTACGATTTAGTGTTTGAAGCTGAGCAGGATTTGCATGCTTTGGCACTTTGACCTGGTTTATCATAGAGTTGACAGACGACAGGAAGCTGAAAATTGTGATTGTGGTCGCCCTTGGTTATTGACGTGACTACCAATGTAAAAATGGTTTTGGAGTTGCATGTATGTTATGATCGGTTGATATATGGAGAATAAGCATTTTTTTAGGTTTGTGGAATTGGTGAAGCGAGGACCCTTGCTCTTGTTGCTATTGTTATTTCGTTGGTGGCTATGAACAGTGATTTGGTTGGTTCTCTATCTTGGCTTTAGAATGTTTTAAAATCGCTTCAAAATCAACAAGTTTGTCATGTAACTCCTCAAATGAAATGAGAGAGTCACGAGCTCGAATTGCAGCGTTAAGATCCTAAAACTCTAGTCCTAGATCTTTGAGTACGGCATGAATGAGCTCATCATTGCTCATTTGTGAACCAGCAAGAGAAAGAGTTTCTGAAATGCTCGACTGTTAGCATGTAATCAGCGCTGCTCATGCGGTTGGGCGTAGTGTGCCAGAATCTCCCGAAATCCTATAACTCGAATATGAGATTTAATGGCGTATGTCAGCTCCAAACAATTACAGGCATCTACAGCAGTGTTGGCAGATGTTATTAATGTGGCAAGATTTTTGAACATAGATGCAAGCATGGCATGAAAAATGAATGTCTTGACGTTTCCATAATTGGTAGGCTGGGTTTGGGACGTCGCCGCAGTTGTTAGGTTCTGTAATAGTTGGATGAGGGCATGTCAAGTGCTATCAATATATCCTTTGAGACTGTAACCGAAGAGAAGAGACTTGAACTGAACTCTCCATGATGGGTAGTTAAGTTTGGCGAGTTTGAGAGGAAGTTGGGTTAGTGGTTGGTGGGTTTATTGCAATGATGGGGTGGACAGCAGCGGGAGGTGGGTGGACGGTAGGGTTTTTTTTAGCCATTGAAAAATTAGGTATGAATTTTCTTGCTTACTGTAAGTGAGGCTCTGATACCATATAAGGCTTTCGATAAAGTTACATATTTCATTCATATGAAGGTGTCAACAAGATAAATTGATCCTTAAATTTCATTTTCAACTACAAACAGTAAAAATTCGTCACTGAATTTTAAATGTTACTCTTATTGATGAAAATTTCGTAAACACAAAATTCCATTCAAGAAATGTCAATTTTACAACTTCGAAAAATACCAATGTGGGGTACTTTTTCTTAGTTCAAGAGGGGAAAAAATAAAAAAATCTTATAGTACATATAAAATGTGAGTCTAGAAGTATGGAAATAGTCAAGGAACTTGACCGGTTTCACTGGACAAGAAGTGAGTTGTCGACAAACAATAACACAGATATCCAAATCGAATAGTTGGGAACTGAGTACAGATTTTACTTCCAGTCAAAATAATAAATACACAATTTTCTCAGTCACTCAAAACACTTTGTTTCCTAGTAGCATAATTGTACTTGGTAAAATAACAAAAGATTATTAAAATCTCAAAAGAATGTCAAAAGATCATAAAGTAACTGCACTCCACAAAAGAAAACCTTTAAAATAATTCTCAATAATACTTGTTTTCAGACATAAATCACAGCACTAATCATTTTAGAATAATAATACCCATCATCACTGATCACAGCCACCCAAATTTATTCATTCACACAATACTCTTCACTTTTTCTTTTTTACACTCTTTTCGATAATTATTTCACAGACAAAATTATTTACTTTTTACTGTATAATCTATTCATAAATACACATTCCCCAATATCTCACCCACTACCCCCACTCAACCGTTCAAACTCCCCCCAAAAGGCAAAAACTCGCTCTTCTGATAATCCTGTTTTCTTGAGTCCCAGAGAAAAATTACTTTAATTTTCACAAAGAAAACAGTGTAAGAACTTATGAGATTTTCCTCAATGTTGATCTTTTTCTACTTTGTTGTGACTCTACTGTTTCAGTTTCAACTTTCTGAATCTGCAACAGTAGTTGTGGATGGAGTTTCAGAATGGAGAAATCCTCAAGTTCAAGTTGGAGATGCTGTCAGTAAGTGTTTACTGCAATTATTTACAGCTACAAGTATAAAAATGGACCTGCATTTAATTTTGGGTTTTCTTGTTTTAACAGTTTTCCAGCACAAGTACCACTACAATCTCTACATTTTCCAGAGCCAGAATGCCTTCAGCCTCTGCAACTTTTCTCAAGCTACACTTCTCACCAAACCCAGTTCAACATCTTACACTGTAAGTAACAAAAGAACTTCAATGCTTCAATTAGGCCATTTATTGGTCAATATTGTTTATAGTAATTGGTTTGGGATTTAACTTGCTTGATGGTGACTCCTTTGAGCACATCAATATTGAATTCCTAATGCTCCTTTGAGTTTTAAATAGGTCGAATTCTTCGTTTGAGTTTAATGGACTCTAATATCAAGATTCGGAATTCTACTTTAAATAGTTCACGTGTGGGATTTTACTGTTAACCTTAATCACTAGCATCTTGTTGTAAATGTTATAATTTACATTTTATAACCATTTTCTGATTATTTCATGAAATTGAAGTGGCACACATCACGCCCTGGATTCTTCTACTTCTCCTTCAACAATGGCTCTAACAAAGCATGTTTGGAGGGCCAAAAGCTAACAGTGAAGGTCACATTATCACCACCTCCAAATGCTTCCCCTGAATTGCCACCACCGACGGCGGCGCCACCGCTGAGCTCTGGCGGTGTTGTGGCATCTTCTCCAGCATTCCCTTGGCCATTTCAGCCACGAGAAAATGCTTCTCCAAGCCCTGCACCCAGTACCATAGAACTTCCAGGCGGTGCCACCAGCCCTACAGCGCCGGATAAAGAAGGCATCCCGTTTATCAACAGCAATCCTGCCGTGCCGCTGCCCACTGGCGAGGTGGATTCTGCCACCATTCGGCCTTTACCCACAAATGGGGACCATGCTAGACAGGTACGTAAACATCCTCAGCAATTGCTGGTGTAGTTAAATAGTTCACATGATGGATAGGACCATTTAACACAACACAATGCACGATATTAAATGCAAACATGTGATTGCACTTATTTCAGTATAATTATTGTGTCATGTCTCTCAATGTATAGTCACATATTGTGTGGAAACGAAAAACGGAACGCAATGGTCCCTTGATTTACTACATTTTCAAGGATCCATTGCTACCTAGACTACCGATGATCATTACCAATGATAGATAGCATTATTCTTTACAATTAGGACGTTGATGATGGTGTTGTTTATTGGAATGCAGGTGCTCGGGTTTTCATTTTTTCGAAGAGCTTTGAGTTTGAGTTGTCCGATTTTGCTGATGATGGTCTAGAGAGTTGTACTAGGTTTATGTATGTAAATCCTACTTTGGAATCATTAGATTTAGCTGCTCATTTACACTTTAGTTTATGCAAACTAATTGATTACTCCCTTTTCCTTTTTCATTTCATTCTTCACCCATCATCGTTAAAGTAATACTTAGAGCCTGTTTGGTATATATTCTCATTTTCTACCGTAAATCAATTCTCATTTTCAACCACACATTTTTCAATAAAATAATATTTTTCATCACATCAATACTTTTTTTTTCTTTTTCCACCACACATTTCCCATCATATCACTATTTAAAAATCAATTCTTCCCCCAAAAATCCCTACCAAACACACTCTTAATAAATTAAGAAACGACAACTTAAATAGTCAAGACATATCTTACAAAATCTACAGGACTTCAAACTGTAAAACCTTAAACAAATACAATAATGTTCCTATAAATCAATTTCTTTTCTTGCTCTCTTGATGTTTTGTTCTAATCATTTGAATAACAAATACTACAAATGACAGAATCAAAGCTGATCCTGCAACAACAGGAATACACATTTTATTGCATCTTTTTCCATTAGACTTATCCTCTGTTTTTACAGGTTCAGATTCTTCAGCCTGTTTTATTACAGGAGACACTTCGTTTTCTTCTTGAATCTTTTCATGAACTCGATCTTCTTCTTGTCGATCCATGTTTACCAACTGCTTTACACCCGATGGTTCAGCATCATTATGTACTTTGTCATTTCTATGTACCTGGTTTTTCAATTCTTCTGTCGTTTTGGTTTCTTCAGCAGATTGAACTCCATCTGTTTTGGTCGAAATTTCTAGTTTTTGATCAGTTTGATCATTTCCAGGAATTTTTTCAACCACATTTTGCAAATTTTCAGGGCCGGAACTCTGATCCGTAACTTCCTCGATGGCAGTTCCACGGATTCCTCTAACCTTCTTTGGCATTGAAATTGTTAAAATGGATTCATCTTCATCAAAATTTGCCTCAATTTTGTCCAAAATCACTTCATCAGGGATTCTGAAAACCTTCTTGAATCCCTTAATCTCTGTATCTTTCTTGTACATTTTCCAATCCACAAATACAGTCTCCTGGACCTTCTTTTCACCTGCTATTGCAATCAGTGTCCCGTCCTCGTTTATGTCCATCTTTATGTTTTGTTTCCTATAACCTGCAAATTCGGGATTATAAAAAATTCAGACATGATTAATAACATAAGAACAGGCCAATATGTACGTCTAGATAAACTACTTCATTTAAAAGCTTAAACTATTAAAAAATAAAACACGTCTATTTATCTAATTTTAGTCGTCAACACACTCTCTCTTATTCAGGCCATATTCATTTTCAATGAAAACCTTAAACGTGCACAATTTTCACAAATATATGGCTGACAAGAGGTTTAATTCCGTACCTCTGTCATGTAAACGCATTTATTTAAATTCAAACAGAAGAACACATAACATAGTAACCTTTGAGATGAGCAGTGAGGATAAACATGAAATCTGTCTCACTGGACAAGAAAACTGGACCAGCACGATCTTTAACAATTTTGAACTCAGTTGATGAGAAATCATCTACAACTCTATCAAGCTTCAGTCCCAACTCGAGCTCCATTCTAACGAAAATTCAATATGGTTTTGTTGAATGAATTGAACAGAAAGAATGGTCTTGTCTTTTATAACAAGGGCATGTACAGGGAAAAGATATATGCTTTGCTTCACAATTTTATAATCTGTCTTCTAATAGAATAGATTAAAAAAAAAAAAAACTTTTTAACTAGCTTTATCTGTAAGTTATTCTTAAGATTACCCAGAAAAATAATAAAAACATGCTGAAGAAATGAAAAGGAGTTAAAAATTATTGTTTTTTTACAAATCTTGCTTTAGCAGTCTTGTATGAAGTTGAATTATGAAAGCAACAATGGATTCTGAAAGCAACAAGAGAATCTCTAAAAAGGGTGGAATATTGAGACGATGCTTTGATGTTTAAGTTAGTAAGATACGTAAGGCCAAAGAGTTTTGAATTGTGCTTAATTGAAATGGAGAGTATGTCTTCTATATCATGTTTGGATGAGCTTATAAGTGTTAAGTAGGGGTGGGCGTGGGTTGGGTTGGGTCGGGTCGGTTTTTGCCCCAACCCAAACCCAATCCAACATTGTCGGTTTGTTCAAAATCCAACCCAACCCAACCCAACACATGTAAATCTTGAAACCCAACTGATGCAGGGGAAGCTTATAGGAAAGACAAAAATCCCACAAAAAGAATTTCAATCAAGAGAAATTCAAGAAAATTTTATTTCATTCAAAACTGAGCTGCCTCAAAAGGCTTACAACGTTTAAATAGCGAAATCCTAATAAAATTCGGAAAGAAATTACATAATAATAAAAAATATTATTTTTT